CAGTCAATTTGAGGTCTTAGGCTGCCGTGCTTCCTTTGGTTGGGCCTTCGACGATGAGCTGGGCTGTCACCGCTTGGCCGCCGGTGGGGTGTTTGGGAGGCCGCATCACACACAGACACCCACACACTCCCTCAACTTACACGAACACACACATACGCAGACTCATTTCCACACGGACATAGACACACGCACAGAAACCCACACACTACCTCAACTCACTCGACTTCACACTTCTCACTGCACACTTACCGGATAACTCGCACTCTGACTTCCTACGTGATGAAAAATGCTTTCGGGCCACTCGTCGTCTAGTTTTTTAGATTAATTATTCAATAACATAATATTATTCCATGAATTACTAAATCCCAGGAATAATTTTCAAACCTAAATTAATATTGTTTATTAAATAAACTATTGAAATAGATTAAAAAACACAATATCTCTATTTTCAATTTTTAATTTCATGTTATATTTCCAAAGCTTTGCAAAGTACAATAAAAATACAAGATCTTATGGATGAAGTTTGGTCATGGATAAAGCAAAAATATCTATCATCGATGATTCCGTTTTAAAAGGTCCATAAGCTTAAGAAGCGCACAAGAGGGAGTTTGGGCCGCAAGCTACCAGTCGCGTCCGTTTCTACGTGACAAACTACGGCGCTCCGCCGATTATTCAAAGAAATTCTAATCCGGGCGCCGGCCACGCGTCCCGTGTCCTAGCCGGAGGCCTTCGGTGGTTACCGAAGGTAACTAACGGGCGTGCCCCCTGCCGACGACCTGCGGTGCTCACCGCGGACCTTTGAGGACCCATGGTTTTTACAGTGTTTTCTGCTCCTCATCATTTTCCATGTCCATCCAACGGCATCGGCCTTATACGCCCAACATAGGCAAGATGGGCCAACATAGCCCCAAGATACGCCAACATAGGCCCAAGATAGGCTCAACATGGGCTTAAGATTGCCCAACATAGGCCCTAGCTGGGCCAACATAGGCCCAAGGTGGGTCAACATAGGCCCTAGATGGCCCCACATAGCCCCAAAATGAGCTCAACATCGCCCCAAGACCGCCCCAGATGGGTTCGACCGGGCCCCAAGACAACAACCATAACAATATTCTATACTATACACATGTATATATATATATATATGTGTGTGTGTGTGTGTGTCTGAGATCCGCCCCCCTACTCCCTCCATGTCCTTCCTCCCTCTCCCGTGTCGGCTGGCGCCCGGCTGTCAGGCGTAAGCCTTTAAACAATTATCAATCATAGTTAATGAAATTTATGTTACATTCAAATAGATATCAAATAGACTATTTGTTTTTTTTGGATGTCTATTTGAATATAACATCAATTTCATGAATTTGTCAAATAAATGAAAAATACACCCAATCTTCTTGTTTCATCTTGTTTCATTGTCCGGCCATGTCCAATCTGTACATGGGAATGTAATTGGACTAACATGCTACAGTGAAACATGGAAAAAGGCGTGTCAGCCTGCGTCAGCCTGTTCCGACCTGACGAGCGAGACGCTCGCTCTGTCGCTCCGTCCTTTGTTTGGCCAATCCACCAAATCATCTGAGACTGTGGCTGCCCGGCTGATTGCTGCCTGATTACTTAAACTTCCACAAGAGCTTTCACATTTTCACTAGCCCAGTGTCATTACCGTGATGATCCCTCATGCAATGTGGCGATGAACGCTTGCCTCGATCATGGCTACTGGGGGAGCAGGCGTGCTCAACCCACTCACCTGGCTGATTGATCACCAACCATGGGTCGAGACAATCTCAAACCGAACAATCTGCCCTTTGCCCCTAGTAGCTTCTTGCTCCTAGTAGTAAGGCCAGGAGCCCCTAGTAGCGTCCTTGCTCCTAGTAGCGATGCCCTTTGCTACCAGTAGCGAACATTTGTTTCAACGGTTCCCCCACGGTTCTTACAACATGTCAGGGCACGGCACCACCACCGAACCCTTCTTGTAGCACATCAAAGTCCATCCCGTGCGTCGTGCCACTGCGCTCGCGAGCACGAACCTTGGAGTGCACGGCAGGTTTGCTTGCCAGTTTTGGATGCTTTCCTTTCTCAAGCTTTCACCCTGAATTCATTAATGGATTGGTTTGCTGTTGGTCGAAGCAAGCTCCAAACGACCGCGTACCGGCCGTTGCTGCTGGCGATCAATGGTGGGATCGCTGAGATGGATTGCTGAAACCTTGAAAAGAATCCGCTGGAACGGCTGGATTCACAAGCCACCGGCCAAACAGGACCAAACACTTACGTTTTTGCATCATCATAATCTGGAGTAGCTGACTCATCTGCTTGGTAGCGTTTGCCAGTTGTAAGCTCCCGCTTCCACCTGCAGTCTCATACAAATGCAGGCTTCACAACTGAAGGAGTTTCAGCCGAGCAATGTCGAGCAGCCCCCTCTGCTGGCATTCGGCAAGTGGAGCAACAACTGCGAGGACATGATTAGTGTACCCACCTGAAAAGCAATGAGCAAGTCCAGTGACCTTGCTGCGTTGGGCTGTCGGAACTCTCGGGCTAAGGCTTTTGATCAACATCTCCATTTCTGCAAGTGCCTGAACAGCTGAACAGCACGTGCAGCTGCATGCGGCAAACATCTGTATTACAGTAGTGCTTCGCACACGGACACCGTAGAGAATCCTTTTGCAGAATTCGCACATTGACTTCCAAGGGCATAATGCATATGACAGCAGGAGTATTTTTTGGGGGGGACGTCCCGTATCGTTTTGTACAGAACGCTCTAAATCACAGTCTTGGATGTGATGAAACGCCCAAACACCCTTGCATATCCTTGCATAACGTAAACGAACTGATGCCATTTCTGAAAACGACTCACAAACTGCTGGCCTTAGGCAACTTAAGCGCTGTCTGGGGGATGACCAAGTGTTTTCGTTGACGCACCTCGGTGAAATCCATGACCTGTGCGGTGTCTCCCAGCTTCTTATTGGTGAATTGTCTGAGGTTAAGTATTCCACGGCCTCATGACACAGCTCCTCCTATGCGAGCAAAAGCTCAGTGAGACAAACATATATGAGGCAGGACAAAAACTGCAGGAGCTCCTTCTCATGGTTGATGATTGCCTTCAAGGCCTCACCGCAATGACGGTGTCAAATTCTAGGCACCGTTGCAACTGGTCAACATAATTATTGAGAACCCTGCTGGGTATGCAGATCTCCAATCGTCAGTTTCAATCCATTCCTTCCAAACTCCATGAGCATCCCTCATGAACCTGCAGTCGGCAAAAGAAAGGTGCTCATGCCTCACACATATTCAATCATGGCGTCTGCTCTCAAAAGCAGTTTGGCTGGCTCACTCGCCATCAATTATGACAGCATCCAGTCGCCGCCTGCCACAAGGCAAGGTGTCAAGCAAGCATGCGTAAGTCAACGAGACCAATGAATGAGTAAGTTGGCGTTTCTTGTGCCATCCTCTTTCCAGCTCCATAGCTTGGACAAATCTCAAACGATCTCAATCTCACTGCAGCACCAAACCAAACGCATCTCAAAGCGAACAGGGAAGTGTAATCAAGAAGGTTCATCAGCTGGGCTCTTTGTGCAGGCCAATGGTTTTCCGCATCTAGAATTAGAATCTGCAAGTGCAAAGTCCTGCAGTCAACAAAGAGTGAGCCTCTGGTCACCACCTGGATTATCTGCTGTTCTACCTCACTGGCGTCAACTTGCCAGCAATTTTTCCCCAAATAGCGAAGCTATGGGGTTCTTACTTCAAATAACAATGAATCAATGAGTTGCCCGTGCGCGCTTTCGAGACAGGTTGCTGGTGCTGGGTGCCGGTGCTGGTGTTGTAAGCTGGCTGTGCACGTGGTGGAGACAGGTTGCTGGTGCTGGTGCTGGTGCCGGGTGCCGGTGCTGGTGCTGTGAGCTGGCTGTGCATGTGGTGGAGGCAGGTTGCTGGTGCTGGTGCTGGTGCCGGGTGCCGGTGCTGTGAGCTGGCTGTGCATGTGGTGGAGACAGGTTGCTGGTGCTGGTCCGGGTGCCGGTGCTGGTGGTGGTGCTGTGAGCTGGCTGTGCACGTGGTGGGGGCAGGTTGCTGGTGCTGGTGCTGGTGCCAGTTAAAAAAATGCTGGTGCTGTGAGCTTGCTGTGCACGTGGTGGAGACAGGTTGCTGGTGCTGGTGCTGGGTGCCGGGCGCCGGTGCTGGTGCTGTGAGCTGGCCGTGCACGTGGTGGAGACAGGTTGCTGGTGCTGGTGCCGGGTGCTGGTGGTGGTGCCCGCTTCTGACAGTGAAGTGATAACAACCGCCGCTTCTGACAGTAGTGAAGGGTAACAAACTGCCGCTTGCAGCAGTGAAGGGCGACCAAGTGCCGCTTCTGACAATGAAGTGCCGGCAGTCATGGGCCGCATGAACTTATGCACGCAACATCATACGGTGTTGTCGCTCGAGCGTTCTTTGTCTATTATATAGCGCTGTGGGGTATTTACAGTTCTGTTTTGGCCGGCAGCTGTGTCAAGGGCTGTACTGTTTGCGCGCATACTTTTCTACGTATAATGTTCTATGCGCAACGTCAGGCTCTCAACCGACCATTGTTCCAGCACGTTTCAGCATGCTACACACACAATAGTCGTGCTGGATACTGCTTGGCCTTGGGCGAGTGAAGCCTACGGGCTGTGCCATTTGTGCGCATACTTTTGTGCGCATAAACTTTTACGCGCAAGGTCATACGGCCTTATCGTCCTGCAGATCGTTGCTTCAACCATGCGACAAAGTCAATAGTGGCGCTGGATACTGCGTGGCCTTGGGCCAATGACACGGGCTTTGCTGTTTGCACGCATACTTTTGTGCTCATAAACATCTATGCGCAAGATCATACGTTGTTATTCCCCAAATAGGGATATTTATGGGGTTCTTGCTGCAAATAAGAATGAGCTGGCTGCGCTTTCGAAAGGGTGTCGGTGCTGGTGCTGGTGTTGTGGTCCTGGGCGCTGGTGCTGTGAGGCTGAGCGTGCGTTTAAGACGGGGAGGTGCCATAAGCTGGCCGTGCAGGCTGCGTACATTCTTGCTCCAGCCAGTCGCATGTCAACAGGTCGTGGGATTCTGCCTAGCTATCTGGGTCTATGCTGGTGTAATTTTGTGTTATATGTTGTGGAACCCACATCTCTGGGTTCTCCCGCATGGGATGTCGAATCTGGGTGCTGTGTCGACCTCAAGGTGGGAATCGGGTTGTACATGCGGGGACTTCCAGTGGCTGAGTTTCCGACCGAGATCGTCGATTTGCCAACTGAGGATGGGCCAAGAATCCACAGGGCGATCGGCACGGCCTGTAACATCTGCAGCGTGAAGGCGCCAGTTTGTTCGAGATACACAGTGATGCAAAGCAATGCAAAGTGCTAGCGACAAACATGCCTGACCTCCTGACGCATCATCAAAATTGGCAGCAAACCTGACTGATTTGGTCACTGGCTATCTCAAAGAAGCTGTCTGGGGCTCTGGCCAAGCTACCTGCCGCTCTTCTAAAGTCAATTCACGTGGCCTGAGGCAAGCGAGGCTCTTCGCAGAACCAACTTGCGGGCGTTGTGCACTTTCTCAAGCTTTGTGTCAACTCTTTTTTCGATCTTTGTCTGACCCTTGAAGCCTTGGTGGAAGTGAAACACGTGCACAATCGGCTCTTTTGGCCACGAGTATGCACGGCCCGTGTCGCATCGAGCGAGATTCAATTAGACAATGGTTGACAGTAATACTTCAGAAATCTTCAGAAGGTCTGCCTGGTCTTTGTCTGGTCACTGGAACAGGAACATGTTCTCCCTAAACTCCATCGGAACAGAGCTGGGCTCTACCAGCCATGTGACTTCAAGCCGGTGTGCATTTCGGCACTGGGTGATACTGTCTTTCCAATAATTAACCGTAGTGTACAAAATAAAGCCGCAAAGGTCTTGGCGTCAGCTTGACCAGTTTGAAGCTTGGCCCCAGCCAGGGGGAGCCTGGGCGAAGTCTGAGCTCTAATGGAAGATTGGCTAACTTGAAGTGCAAAATCCTCGGCCCAACCTGTGACTGCAAGTGGGTGAGCTCCTGGAACCGGGCTGTTTCCTGAAGTCACGAAGGTCGGGACTGACCTACGAGTACGTCCTTGAAAGGCATGCTTCTTTGTAATTACAGTAGTAGATAGGGGATGATAGGGCTGATCCGCCCGCACCGAAGGTGCCGAGGCGTATCTTTAGGGCACGCATTATACCGCAAGTACAGCAAGTACTAATAGCTTTAGCTAGGGGGGGGGGCCATTTTCGCTCTAGAACCCTAGGTTTTTTGATGTTTTTGGAACTGGCTTAAAATGCTGGAAGATAAATTTGCGCTAACCTGAAGCCTTTAGTGATGCAAGAAATGCAAGTTTCTGCTTTGCACCGTCTGCATCGTCTGAGCGGTACATTGAGCGGTACATAGCTATCTAACGGCCGTGTCTGCGAGATAGGTAACTTCAACGTCGTAAA